TGTAAAAAGAGAGCAGGGTGTCCCAGGCATTTGTGACAGATGGGTGCAGTGACAACTTCCAGCTGCCATTTTGCTGCCAACTTAATTGTTAGGGTGACTGTATTTAGATCTTAGGGAACATTGAATCTACAGGTGCATAAAAGGCTATAGTCTGTGGCCTGGTGAAGCTGCTAAAATGATGTACCGTTTCCATATCTTCCAGCAAATCCCAAGCTCTTATAAAACATGGAAAAGCACCATATATATCTTGGTTGTTTAATCAAATAAGTTGAATAATAATAATAATAAATAATCATAATGTAAACCCCCACAAAACATTAAAAAAACAAACCACCTGAACTATAAGGTAAAACTTTCCAAAGTTTGGTTTTCTTTTTTTGCCCTCCCTTCCCCTATATTATATTAATAGGGATTTTTATTTAACATTTCATATCATATATTTATTTTTCATATGCACACACAGAATAGAAAACTTGTAAATTATTTCATGTCTATATAATTATATTTTATAGAACACTATTATAATTTGAGTCATTTAATACTCTTTGCTTTTAAATATCTCTAAGAGCCCCAACCATTGTTGACTGTAGGTTAAAAAAATACCAACATTTACATTATAAATTGCACATTTCCAAAAAGAGATTATTTAAAAAATGATTTTCTTACCTAAACCATGCCTATGTGTTGACATTGATGGTAAGACAGTCCAAGCCTTGGTTTTTGGATTGTAACATTCGACTGTATTTAATGTCTTTAAACCATCCCGACCTCCAATAACAAAGAGTTTATCATCAATGACAGCTACACCAAACTGAAGCCTCCTTCCATTCATCACTCCAGCCTGGATCCATATATTTGTCCTGAGATCATATTTTTCTATAGTTGTAGCACCTAATAAGGAACATTAAATGGGATGGTGTATTTAACACAGATGTCCTCAAACACCCTCCTCCCCAAAACTGACTTTCACTGCTTGTGTCTGTTGATTTCATACATTTTGTCAAGCAATTTCTATATATTCAGAACTATTAACAAATGTCCAAGAATTAATAACTGGACATGGAGGAGTTTTATTAGTCTGAATAGCAGTATGTTCTAGCTTTATGATCTCTTTTATGGTTCACGGGCAAAACTATGTAAGATAACTACTCTTGCTGCACTAGTTCCTCCTGTTATTTATTTATTTTTTTAACTATGAAGTTTAAGTGCAACTTTTATTAGAAAAAGCAAATTCAGATTTGGGTTTGTAAATCCTGAGAGTTTTAGGGAATTAAGATTTTCACTATTCTAGAGTTTGCATATTTGTGAAAATGCTGAGGTTTGCATAGAAACTTATAAGCACATCAAAATCAAGGTATAGCCAAAAACATTTCAATCTGAATTTAATTATTTGACTGACTTACACATCTGACACCAAAGGCTTTAAAGAGCAAGAGGTGTAAAACAACTTACCAGCTGATCATGAAAAGATCTCTGATTAAGAAACTTCTACTGCTAAAAGCAACTTTATATATAACAAGAAAAGATGAGAAATGTAATAAACTTGATTAACAGAAATAGGTAAAAAGGGACGATAACTAATTTAACCAGTACCAGAAGTAAAAAAAAAAAAAGTGTTCCATTAATTATACTAAGTTTATGAGAAAGTTTAATCTAAATCAAAACTACAAACATCTAAATGACTAATGAAATCAAAATTAATCAGTATGAAAGATGCATAATAATTAATATAAACTGAACACTATGTTTTATTTTCACATACACACAATAATCTTCATGTCCAGCGATTAAATATGTCTACAGAGACTATGAACATCATCATGCTCTGCAATTAAGCTTAAGCAGTCTATTTTATTTGGACTGTTAAAAAGGTTACAATTCTACAGAAAACAATTCTTTCAGGATTCATTCTTTCTTTGGAACAGAAGAAGCAATAAAACAAACAAAACAAATGTTGTGGAAGCAATAGTTTTGTTAACTGAACTGAAAAAAAATATAATTCAAATTCAATTTGCATCTAAGTGTACCACACCAGTAATTATGTCACTGTGCAACTGGATTTAATATATCCCCAGCTAGTTTTCTGAAGCTATGAGAAATATGAACTAATTTCTACATTCAATTAACAGAGTGGTCTTTGCTTTTTCAGACAGTAATTTAAAATTGTGAATTGCATAAATTAATTATCCTACAGATTAGTTATGAAAAACAACATCAACAATATCGCTTTCTTTAAATGCAGTTGTTTGGCAATATTGGATGGCATATTAATATTGCATACCTTCAACATTTTACAAATCATTCTGCCCAGATGTGTTTTAGTTTTTGTAAGTAATGATTTAAAAATCCAGAAACTGACATAGCTCTCTAATAGGCAAGGTTTTTTTGTTTGTTTGGTTGATTTTTTTACTTGTATTCCATTAAATCTAGTTCAACACAAACAGGTACATTTGGGATTTTTTTTATATATTTGATTGCCAAAAAATCTAATCTAATTTAATCTAATAAAAACAATCTTCATATTTTGCTCAGTTGGATAATTTCCTATTATCCAATATTATCCATGTTTTAACTTTCTTTGCATTTTGTTTGAATCCTACCTTGAACATTTGACTTTAGTTTCTTAAGCAAACTCATAAAGAAGCTAGACGAAGACCAACTACATGTCCATCTAATGGAAACTACTATCTCAGAACCAAAGAATTTATATTTTTATCTGTCTAGATCCCTGTAAAGTACACAACACTGATCATTTTGAGATACAACTGTGTCACCTGAAAGAAGTATCAATAATTCAAGTGGAAGAGACCTCACGAGATCATTATGTCCAGCCCCCACCCCCTACACTTGAGCAGGAAAGACCGCTGGAGTCAGATGACCCCAGCTAGGTGGTGCACATCATTTTTTAAAGAGCTCCAGGATAGGTGACTATACTACTTAGGGGGGGTAGGGGTGGGGGAGGAACCTTAGATCTATTAATTCAAGAAAGAAGGAAGGTCTTTATTTCTGTTTTTCTGTCTCATGCATACAATAATAATGAAGGAAACTGCAGCTCTACCACTATATTGCTTAACTGTAGACTCCTACAAGACTAAATTCTCTCTATGATCCTTCTTAGCATCCACAGGCAGTCACTCCAAGTACTCACCAGATGACATGAACCAAAGTTCCAGAACATTCAATGAGACACAACCCTAACATCTAACACACAAGATCATACAAATAACATTAAGATTATCCAAACCTTCAATGGTATGTGCTCAGAGATAAATAACAAAACCTCAACAAGATACACTGTATCTATCTTTTGTTGGCAGGCAGAGAGAAGTACTATACACTGTGTTCAACCACTGTCCTCTTCTTGAAGGTACACCTGCTCAGTTGGACAATTTAATCTATAAACTGGGAGTGCTCTTGGATTCTTTAGTGATGCTGAAACACCTTATATAGGTAACATTTGTTTGCCATCTGTGATTAGTTAGGAGATTCCATTCCACCTTGGCCAATAGAAGTTTAATCTTGTTTAACAGCCCCTTTGTCATCCATTGTCTGGATTACAGCAATATAATATATTTGGGCATAAAGCTATCACCATTTAAGAATCTCCAACTAATACAGACTGTCACATTGTACTTCCTTAGTAAAACAGGCTACCTGAAATAGTTCAAATCTATCCTTAAATTTCCACACTGGCTTCTGTTCATGGAATATTGATTCAAACACAGGTTCTCATTCCTTGCTGTCTGTAGCAGTTAGCAATTCTAGGCACAACTAAACTTTCTACAGGAAGGATAAAGCATGTCTTTGCATAGTCAAAACTATCTCAGGGACCAGTCTGAGACTGTGGAAGGAATTTCTGTAGGCGCATAGGACCATGACCTCATCACTGCATTTAAGTGGTGAACTTCTTCAACCTCGTCTTCTCTAATATAAAAAAAAATAGCCATGTGCACACTTATAAAATCAAATAGCCCCAGACTAAAACTCTATCAAAACAAACACTAGACTATCTACACAATACTTCTTTTAGAAAAAGAATGAGCAAATAAATTTCACTTTAGATATTAGACAGTATTTAAGAAACATCTGTCTAAGGTAAGGGCAAAGGAATAATAGATTAACCAAACATCTAAATACTTCATCCTGCATTAGTACAAGGGGCTAGGCTAAATGATCTCCTGAAGTTTCTTTACTATGATTTCAAGATTCCACATCACATCAAGACAATGTACAGAAACTATCAAACATTTTATATACATCACTTTAGGATACAATTTTAATGAAAATGGTGTTCAATTTCAGTACAAAATTAAATACATTTACACCATTTTTCCTGAACTATTATACCATAATAAATATTTATTCAACCTGAAATGGTTAAGATCTCTGGAGTTCAAGATAGATAGAAATCTCTCGATAGATAGATTTCTATCTCTATGTAGATACTACTTTGTGTGGTCCAGCTTTATGCTAAACCCTGGGCTAATTCTGCCCCAAGTCTCTCACCGGGCACAACTTCTCATGGGGATGGCCCTTGCACTGTCCTTCAAGTTTACTCCTATTTGACCCTACTTAGTGCGCCCCTTAGGCTGTCCTCCAGGCCTACACCAACTTCAGCCCTACTCAGCCCCCTCACACACACAACCCTTCAGGCCTACTCACACTTCAGCCCTACTCTGTGCAGGGACTCCCAATGTTCTCCACACAACCCCCTCTGGGGTCTCCAGGACCTCGTATCTGTGCTAGACTCAGGTGCCTACACTTGAGCATACCTGGCCCCCACTACTCCACCAGCCACCTCCAAAACCCACCCAAAGATGGGGGATGGGGTTAAGGCCCCCCTCCTCACCTTTCACTGGGGAGGTAACTGGCCTAGCATGTTCTGGGAGCTCCTGCACCACCAGGGGCCCCACCAGGCCACCCTTCCCCGGCAGGGTGGAGTTTTAAGTTATGCCCAGGACCCGGCGCCTCCAAACCATCCCCGTAAGCTCCTGCTCTTACTGCTAAGGTTTTTCCTGCTGCAGCTTAACTAAGCAATGTTTCTGCCTCCCCTAGCAGCAGGGAATTGAAGATTTTATATGCTTTTTGTTCAAAATGGCTGCCCTCATCAGGCGCCTGGTAGCTGCCTGCCTGTGCCCTGCCACCCCAAGTCACTAATATACAGAATGCCACTTAATTAAATAGAAATCAATAGTGCCTCTATGAAAATAATTGTTGATTATAACTAAAAACATACCTCCTCAAGTCTCTAAATCTTGTATCTCACAGCTCTGTGCATAAGTTAATGCTGATGCATCTCTCTCTCCCCACTCTTCTCTCTCTTATCTTTCTTGGACTTACTTATTCCATCAGCTTTTCTACCATTGCTCTCAGCTATATTATTGATCTTATCAGCCTGCCATTCTCTTTCTCCATTATTTTAGCTACACTGACCACTTATTAGATGAAAATCTATTTATAAATAAATAATATAATTCAGAAATATCAAGCTGCTTGCTAAACATTTTAATAAAAATCTGGTTTTAGAGTATCAATAAAATACATGAATCATATTTGAAGGCATTAAAGGGCAAGTAGTGTCTGTTTATAGCTTTTGTATTATTATTTTGTATGAATTGACAAGACACAAAAAATATTACCTTATATCATTCTTTTTTTTAGGAACACTATCAAAGCAATGTAGAAAAAAAATAACAGTTCCTTATTTCAAAGTTTTTTAATGATAACGAACATTAATAAAATAAAGAGAGATAGCAAGCCATGTTATTCTTAGACTAACTCATTTAGAGCCTATGTAGCTACAGCTTATAAACATTCATATCCCTCTGAACCATTTCCAAATAAATTATGAGCAGCAAGGGTCATCTGAAGCAGCAATATTATTTCTATCT